GGGGGGGGGGGGGGAAAAAAAACTTCTGTGAGTCAAGAGGGGATGTTGTTGCCGCTTATCCTCACTCTTAGGAATGTGGCTTTGGGTGTGCCAGCTTTCTTTCCAGAAAAATTCCTCGTGGTACAATATGTTGACTAGGAAGGACAAAAGGTGAACTTCTAGGAGCCTGGACAATTGTGGCAATACGGGGTTACATGTTGGGTTGACCATTAGTTCCTCGAGCTCATTTTTCTATGGCTTGTGATAAATCTTATCTTAACTGGTAGGTATTTTCTTGGCTCGTATATATATCTTGTTGCTTAATGGCTAACAAGGTCCTAGTACAACTCCTTTCTGGGACAAAGGGAAAAGGCTTGTGGAAGACTACTTATTTTTTCATCTAATGGAATATCTGATTTGAAAGGAAGAATAAAAATTTTAGAGATGTGGAGAAGGTATGGGAAAAGGTCTGTTTGTAGCCTGGTCCAAATGGATTCTGCTGGTTTTGCCTTTTTCTTTTCTTTTTTTTTTTATGTACATTTTAGAAGTTCAATAAGATTTCATATTGCTCCTTTTTTGTATGCAATTTTCCCTTCTGAAAAGATTTTTGTCCCTTATATTAAAAATAAAAAGATATAATATCCCATTCTGACACCTTTTTCCGGCAATAATTGCCTCTTTGTATCAATTTGGATGAACTTGGTTGTAAGTGGCAGAGATGGTGCATGAGCGTAATGGATTTTACCTCTCTTTCAGGGCTTCGAGTGATCGTGTGAAAGCAAAAGGGACTATTTACTTGTCAAATGTACGCATGGTGTTTGTGTCAAGTAAACCAGATCCATACTTCACGGCATTTGACATGCCTTTGGTAAGCTTTCACTCTTTATGTTTACTTGCCTTCTTGATGCCTTTTGTCCTTATAATTGTCCATCTTTGGAAACTGAATTGGTGAGAATTCTCCTGCATAAACGAAAGATAAAACTACATTGCAATATCAAAGGAATTACCATATCCATAGGTTTTAAGAAGGTTGTCTCTCCGACAATCCACCCACTATGGACTGGCGCACCAAAATATGACCTCCCCTCCACAAATCCTAGCTCATATTTATAACCAAGTCATCTCTATCTAATTATCACTATATCCTTTATAATATCTCACTAATATTCCCAATATATCTTCTAATAGTACTATTTACACAATCTTCATGAAAATGCCCTAATAAAATCTAATAATTTGTCGAGTCCTAAACTCGAAGCAACTTATTCATAATGCTAGTATGGGCCTCTTATATTTGTGTGTCCATATTTTTAGACCTAAATAGCTGTTGGATTGTGTTATTCTATTCGACATTTTGTTGCATTGCTATCTAATATTTTGCATGTTGCGCTTGCAGCTCTATGTTCATGATGAGAAATTTAACCAGCCAATATTTTTCTGCAACAATATCTCTGGATTAGTTGAACCTGTAAGCATGCGAACTATTAGATCACATCTTGTTTAGTGTGTCCGAGTGCTACTTTAGAAAGCCTAGCTAATAGCTTATTACAGGTGGTGCCTGAAGACCAGCACAGGGCTCTCTACTCGACTCACTCGTTTAAGATTTTGTTCAAGGAAGGAGGATGTGGTACCTTTGTACCACTCTTCTTCAACTTGCTGTCTTCGGTGAGACAATACAATCAACATATGAATGCAGGTCCTCAAGTTGATCCATTGCAGGCAGCACAAACTCCTGTCGATGAAATGATGAGACATGCGTGAGTAGCGTTGATTCTCATCGAATTCAATCTCATTGTCAAGTTGGAATTTGTCATTTGATTATGTTTTTGATGTTTAACTTGCAGCTATGTGGATCCAAATGACCCGACGAGGATCTTCTTACAACAGCCAACAGCGGAGTCCCAGTTAAGGAGGCGCACATACCAATCCCAACCAGCCGAAAATGCAATGTGAAGTTAGTGGAATTTCGATCTCGTACTATAGATTTGTTCGTTGGTTGGCATGTTGTTGTTACTTGTACAGTTGAAGAATGTGTTGAATTTAAAGTTACATGAGGTAGACCCATTTGTCATTTACAAAAGCTTCGACTCAACACTTCCAATACGTTATATAGCCCTGTTGGTGCATGATGGCATTGGTTCTGTGATATATGGCTTTTGACTGCTATTGGTCTTTGTGCTTTTGAAGTATGCCATTAATTTGTGGCTCCTTTCTTTGTAGCTGATTGGATTGTCATAAGTTGGTATGATGACGATCTTCCCAATTGATTAGTGCTAAAGATGAGACAAAACACTATAAGTACGAGAGATATTTTTAGACAAGCACGAGAGAAATTTAAAAAATAAATGTGCGATACTAAAATGATTTTTTTTTGAAAAAAAATATCCGATAAGGCCTTGCAAATTCCCTATTCCTTTGGAATTTTTTCCCTGATAGATGATGATCCATATGCAACTAGGGGTAGAGGCTTCGTGCTTCATCTACTTCGCTCTACATCATCCTTACGACCCTATGAACTCTTGATACAATGTCGACCAAGAAAACTCCATGCTACATCAAGTCATTGATATAGTTTTGGCCCATGACATCATTAGTGTTCTTAAGCCTCCCAAAGCCATAGGTTTCTACAACTAATTCGTCCCTCTCGACAACTTATCTTATGTTCAACGGTCTTTATTTTTGGCAACGCCCCCTTATATAGCTAGAAAATACATGTTCAGTAGGGTATTGGATATAGCTAAAATGTTGAGCATGCCTTAAAATGTCCTTGTACAAAAATGTTTAGAGAGATATTGTCCTATGATATGTGATGAGAGTGCACCTCCTCCCAGGATACGAGTCATTCAATATCAAGACAATGTAAGCTGATTAAGTCTAAGTCTAAAATATAGAAAAGATAGTTCAATCTAGAGCTGAGTTACACTATCCAGCAAATGTGTGGCACCAAAAAAGTTTAATGACTTCTAGACTTCGAGAGGGATGTGATAAGCAAGGTCTTCCCAAAAGCTCAAATAGTTGTAGAACCTAAACCCAAACTTTCTAAAGCCTAGAGAAAAATTCATGGTAACTTAATATGTCAAGAATGCGATGGAAACATATAAGTAGATTGCTTACTAAGCATGCTTATGTTTACCATATTCTATTTTCCTTTTTCAAGTGATCGATGACTATTAGTTGAGGTAGGGAGCATACAGAGGAGCTATGTGTCACAATCATGCTTTGAAGGCGCGTGTCAGATGTCCCAGTCATACTTGTCCAAGACATGTTTTCATGGTCGCATGTCGTTCCAAACCCCCTTTACTTGCTTTCATGTGTAGTTAGGTTTTTACTATTTATGTCGTGTCAATATGGGTATATGATTGTTCACCAAAATCATGTTTATTGCCCCAAAATGTGCTATAGTGGTATGTGACTAGTTGTCTATTTTTCCTATTCGGGTTATATTCTATCAAAGTTGTGGTTGTTGCTTATTCTCTTTTAGCCTATAACATTATTTTCTTTAAAGTTATTTTCAATGCATTTCCTCGCTCATATTTTCTAAAACATTTCTCTCGAACATGACTTGAGGCTCAATCATACTTTAAGATTGTCTACAAATTCTAACTTTCACACGACTGACTTGTTCACTAGGTTAGAATAAGTGTTGCCCAATCGTTGTCTCATTGGCACAAGAGTGCAATTGTGACGAGTAGTATTAGACTCGAGTCAGTTCCTTGAATCGTAGTAATCAAACATGTTTGTTGCAAAAGAACTGGGCAAGTTCAAGGTTGATCAATCGGTAGAGATTGAAGATCAGTTGCTCTACTTAAGTGAAGTTCCTAATGGAATAAGGCTTTTGGAGTTTCACATGAACGAGATTGCCGCTAAAGCCGACAGGATCAATGAAATGGCAGGCCGCCTTGAGACAATGTCAATTCGTGAATTAATGGTTAGGGTCAACACCCTAGAAGTAAAGCCACAACTATTGGTGGCTTCGAGCGTGGAGATAGCTCAATGGGCTCTATCGCCTGGATGGAAAAACGTATCGAAGGCCTAAACAATTCCCACCAAGTGACCTTTCATATTGTCTTAGAAATGTCTAAGGATTGGAGAATAGAAGTGTCAGATCCGAGTGCCAAGTTAAATATCACCATTAGAGCAGTAGGGAACCAAACTCCAATTGGGGTGCGGTCCTAAGCTCATCTCTGGGTTGGAGACTTTAAGGGTTTGGAGAATTTTAGCTTTGACCTTGAACAATACTTTTGAGCCACAAATATTGTGGTAAAAGAGGCGAAGGTCACATCGGCTACAATGCATCTAACTGACGATGCAAAGTTGTGGTGGAGATCCAAGTACATGGACATTCAAGATGGTCGATGTATTATAAACAATTAGGGAGTAACAAAAACTCCGCTCACAATTATTCCCATAAAATGTCGAAATAATAGTAAGGAGGAAGATAAGGGAACGAACGTATACAAAGAATATATGAGACTACGTTAATCAATTTTTGGGCTTATGTTAGATATTCGCGACATGTCTAAGAAAGGCAAGGTCTTCAGTTCTGTTGAAGGGCGGAAGCCGTGAACGAAAACCAAGTTCTATGAATAAAAAGTTCAAGATATTTCCATGGCCTATGCTACAACCAAACGGCTGATTGACAATGATCAATCTCAAGACGTAAAGCAGAACCAGGCTTGCACAAGTAGGATAATATAAATTACCAACCCAACTCCCCTAAAGATGGGGAAGTGACAAACTTGACTGCGGGGAGAATGCAAGTCCTCCCAATAAAGAGGTAGAACTCCATAGCCAAATCCTTGCCGCCAAAACAGTCATAGTCAAGATCCCTCATCTTGCTTCAAATGCAACAAAGGAGTCCACCAAAAAATTGAGTGTCCGCAAAAGGTGGGGTACTCTATGCCTTCCAAGCGAATTTGGAACGAATTCAAAAGTTGCATATGAGATGGTGGAAGTTGAAACACCGCGAGTTGAAAGCAATGAACACATCTTGCATGGGGCACTAAAGTACTTGTCTGCTCTTCAGAAAAGAGTGGAAGTGATAGAAGAGTCATTGGAACGTGATCTTATGTATGTCGATGCTTTGGTTAACCATAGAATGGCCAAGAACACTATTGTTACTCTGAAGCTAGCTACAACTTCATGATGGAATCGAAGTAAAACGCTTGAATATCATTTGTCATCGAGACACATGACGGATGAAAGTCGTCAATTCGACAGTCCTACTTGTCTTAAGAGTTGCAAAGAGAACTCTGATCAAGCTGAGGACTTGGACTGGACAAATGACTTTGTGATTTTCAAGATGGATGACTTGGACATCGTGTTAGGGATGGGTTTCATGCTCAAACACAAAGTCATTTCCATGCCCCTAGCGAAATGCTTAGTAGTAATGGGATCCAAGCCAACAATCATTCAGACCAACACCTATCAACCAAAAGGGGTGAAGAAGATGACGACACTATAGTTGAGAAGAGATTTTGCCTGTGATGAACCCACACTCGCTGCAATTGTCGTAGTTGAAGAGGAGAATTTAAGTGAGCACACTCCAACAGAAACCTCGCAGTTGCTATGGGAACATCGCAACACAAGATCAAAAGGCCAGACAAAGAATTTATCCCCACTTGAGGAGATATATCACGAGATTGATTTTATATCGGGGGCGAGATTGCCCACCACAGATGTGTGTCATATGAATCAACTTGATCTAGCTGAATTCCACAAACAGCTAAATGACTTGTTGAAAGTCGGGTTCATTAAACTCGCAAAGACTCTTGTCAATGATCATTGAAGGCTAGGGAGAGACCCCAAACCAATACCTCAGTTGAAGTGAGGAGACAAATTGATATGAAACTCTTGGAAGTTGATTTAACAATGTAATAGCTCAAGCCCACCGCTAGCATATAAGATTTCCAAAACGCGTCTAATACGAAGAGGTTTCCACACCCTTATAAGGAATGTTTCATTTCCCTCTCCAATCAACGTGGGGATCTCACAAACAACATTATTGAAGAACAATACCTTTAGATCTAAATTATCCAAGAACCCCAAAAATGATAAAGAATCAACCTAAGAGAAAGTAAGATTTACATTACTTTGTTAATCGAATATCTCAAAGCAATAACACTTGTTTGAGATTTAAATCACTCCACAAATAAGATTGATCATGTCAAAGTTGAATGATTCTAAACATGCAACCTAAACTACATCGAATTACAAATAAACTTAGTATTTGGCTAAAAGAAGGCACAAATGCTTTTATGCTCCCTTTACTACATTTTCCAAGTCCATTTTACAAAAATAACATACCTGACTTCATATAGCTTCAAAATAAAACCGGTCACCTTTCATGAGGCAGATTTGTAAGTTAATACTTTATGACCATAATTAGTCACTATGTAAATGTAACAAAAATACGTTAATAAAACACCATAAATCTAAATTTTAATAATACATCATAAATTGTAACCATATAAGAATAAATGAAACGTGAGTTGAAATATCTTGAAGCCTTTGTTGCAGAAATGAAGCTTGATTTTCTTAATATGAAATTAATTGCAACTTGAGTTCAAATTTAATAAAACTTGACTTCACTTAATGTAACTTGACTTCATCTTGCGGTAATTTGAACCAGATTCTTCACAACTTCGTTCAAGTTTATATTGTATGATTGAGATGCATTGGTTTATATCACAAACCTTTGAAGTAACTCGTGTTTACTCAAAAAGACCATTCAAATGGATGAAGAGAAGGGTCGGTTGAAAGCGATGGTTACTACAATTCCAAAATGGAGAAAGAGTTTTGTTCAAGGTGAGGTTAGATCAAATCCAATTTCAAAGCACCAAAAACAAATGATTGATGCGAAAATATTATAGACCAGTCGAAGTCATTCAAAAGGTCGAGAAGACATCATATAGGATCCAATTGTTCCCATGGATGTAGACTATCCCTGTTGTCCACGTTAGTAACTTAAAACGTTAGTATCTCGACTAGGAAGACACCAAGCACAAGAAGGTGGTACGACCTCTTGCCATGAAGAAGAATTCCACCGCAAAAGTAAGATAGACTCTAGCAAAGAAGACACGAAGAGTTGACGAACTAAGAAGTGATTTTCAACAATTCCTGACAGATTGGAAGAGACTCTTCAATGCTTAGATTATTTGGAAGCACGTAGAGAGACATAAAGTCAACTTCATCCTACATCGCCAACGTCAACCAATTGAGTGGTTAAGGATGTCACGATCATGCTTGTCCAAGGTGTGCTGCCTTTGATCGCATGTCGGATGTCTCAATCATGTTTGTTAAGGATGTGTTGTCCACGGCCGCATGCCCATTCCAAACTCCCTTTATTTGCTTCCATGTGTAGTTAGGTCTTTACTATTCTTGTCGTGTCAATACGGGGATGTATATGATCGTTCACCAAAATTATGTCTATACTCGCTAGGCTAAAATGTCCTAAAATGTATTATAGGGGATGTGATTGGTTGTCAATTCTTCTTACCCGAGTTATATGTTATTAAAGATGTGGTTGTTGCTTATTCTCTTTAGCCTGTAACATTGCTTTCTTTCAAATTGTTTTCAACGCATTTTCTCTCTCACGTTTTCGACAAATATTTCTCTCAAATGTGACCCAAGGCTTGACCACATGTCAAGATTCTTTACAAAGTTTAGAACAAATGTCAAATAATCACTGTCACAATGCCACGAGTGCGATTGTGACACTATGTGGTCAGATAGAAAGGTCATCCATGGGCGCCAATCCACATCATTGTTCCTGAATTGAAACTTCAAAAATATGGTCATGATAATTAATCTTTTTAAATACTAGTTTATATAATATAATTTATATTCAAATCTAAAATTATAGGATAAAAAGGACAAAATAAAGTACAACTCAACTCCTTTCTAAAAATAAAATAAAGAGTAGTTGGCTACATGTTTCATGAAAAAATATTTAAGGGAAAAAAAAAACATTTATTACACGTTACAGCGTGTTAGACAGGTAGATAAACTCTAAAAATCTTAATATCCCAACTAGTTTTTTTTTTTCTTTTCTTCCTAAAATAAAATAATTATTTTATTTTATTTTTTTATTCTGTGAGGGAACGTCTAGAGTCTTCTGACTGTTTGACCAAAATTGCAAGAACCCAGCAGCTGTTGCGTAGGGAACTCTTATTCGTCCGCATAATTTAGAATGCGATTTCAATGAAAAATGCATTTCTATGGAAACTATCATCTGATCAGATTCAGCATCCGAATTGGCCAATAAATCTGAACCCAAGGCTAAACGATCCTGAATCCAGGAAGATACGCGATGGCCAGTTTGCTGAAGCCAACGCATACATATTGGCATCCCCATCCCGTACTCCGTCAATCACAAAGATTTCGCACCTTCAAGCGCCCCATACCTCTAATTGGACGTCAATCACGCTATCAATTCATTCGAAGCAGCCGAATCAAGTGCAGTTTTGAAGACTCTGGCGACGAACAACCACCTCGTTCTACTTCCACCGCTTTGCAACTCTACTCCGATATCGAGAGGTTTTTTTTACCTCTCTTTCATTTTTTCTCCGTTGCGGCCTGATTTTCTCTTTTTGTTGCTATTTCCATGATTTTAATCAATCGGCCTGGTGAATTTGTTGCGCGTTATAATTGTTTTCTTGAGTTAACTCTTGCTAGTTCAACGTTTTCCCGTACTTTCCTTTCTCATTAGTCATTCCTACTTTAATTCATCCGCAAAGTGTGTGTATCGATACGGTTGACCCTGCTTTAATCGAGTCTTCTTTAGAAATGCATAAAAGTGCAAAAGAGAGAACGTGGACTTCGAGAGAGTTGGGATAAGCTCAGGATAGCGAAATATGAGGCTCCTGACTAGGGAGTAGCTAACTTCGGCCAGTAATGACCAGGCTAGCTAGTCATGTTCATTAGCAGTAAAGGTAAAACACCAACTTAAGAAGCATGGATGCTTTAGCTGGCTAGCATGTCTTGGACATCGTATCGGATACTATTAGCACAATTGATATGAGTTAAACACTAGTTGCACAAAGTCAATATAGATCCAACATTTGTTAAGCACGGATTGAATACTTGTTGAATGCACTAAATAGACGCATAATAATATGGGACCAAAAAAATTTGAGACCGAAACACATCGAACTCATTTTGTAAGTATACAAATACATAAACTTGTTGAAGTGTATATTTTAATAAACCTGTCCTTGCCATCGATGTCCTGAATTTTTAAGTATGATATATCACCGTGTCCATATTGTGTTGTACCGTGTCTCGTATTTGTATGGACTGTATCCATTCTTCTTAGGCACCAACTAAAAGTTTCCATAAAGCTCAAAGAGTGAGCAAAAGAGCAAGAGATGAATATGTGATCGATTGAAACATATCAGTAGTGAGGAGATAACAGAAGCCAACTATTTATTTTTAAAAAAACAAATTCCCTCTATTCTAAACGGAGCTTAGATCTAGTTTATTAGCAATTGCGACACTGGATGATCCCAACTATACTTGGACCTTGTAAGATTTTCCAAAAAAATAATCTCGAAGAGAATGATTGAGCCTTAAGCTACCTGGGTGGAAATATGTTTACTATCATATTTATTGACTTGATGCCATAGGTCATTAATATAGTTATAGCTGGAGACAAGTGCATGATAGCTGTTTGATTGTGACCTGTATTGCATGAACATAGCAACAAACTGTTGGGCCTCCAATAGTAAGTGTACTAAAAGAAATGTGTAAAAGGTGGGGGGG